TGATAATATAGTGGGTTCTTTGATGTATGTTATGATTTGTACTAGACCCGATTTAGCATATGCAGTAAGTCTTGTAAGCAGGTACATGGAGAATCCTGGAAAGGCTCACTGACAAGCATTGAAGTGGATTCTAAGGTATATAAATGGATCTCTGAATAGAGTCCTAATTTATGATGGAGCCTTGGGTGAAGGTAGTAAAGTAGCAATCGAAGGATATGTCGACTCTGATTATACAGGTTGTATGGATTCTAGAAAATCTATTTTTGGATATGTGTTCACTATGTTTGGGACATCAATCAGTTGGAAAGCAACACTTCAAAAGGTCGTTTCCTTATCAACCACTAAAGCGGAATATATTGTCCTAACTAAAGCTGAGAAGGAAGCATTGTGGCTTGAAGGTTTTACAAAGGAGCTAAAACTTCAAGGTCGAGTTATCACTGTTAAATGTGATAGCCAAAGTGAAATACACCTGTCGAAGAATTCAGCCTGTCATGAGCGAACCAAGCACATTGATGTGAGGTTACATTTCGTCAGAGGGGTAATCAAGCATGGAGAAGTCCAAGTGCTGAAGGTTTTGACAGATCATAATGCTGCTGATATGATCACCAAGACGTTGCCCAGTTGCAAGTTTTTCCACTGTATGCAATTGATAAAGCTACATGAAGAAAGCTAGTTTCTTGATGTTATAGAGTTAGATCCAAGGTGGATATTCGTGAGATGTTGGATCGAACTCTAGTATGGTCGAAGGGTAGCTTCTAATTCGACAGGAGTTAAGCATGAGGTCGAAGTATGTTCGTATGCTGCTGTCGGAGTAATGCGTGTTGTAGTTGAAGTTTGTTCTAACATGCATTAGTCAAATTTGCTAAGGTTGTTAGCATGTTGAATTGGACATTGCTTGTAAGTCCAATTGTTTAAGTTAGCTTGTACCCTAAGTTAGCTTGTAATGGGAAATTGTTAAAAAGCCCATTAAGTTAGTGTGCTATTTTTCTTATAAATAGGATGCTAGTTTCTCAATCTTGGCATAAGGAAAAATAGGAAGATAAAATCCTAATTTCAAGAGAGAGAGGTTATATTTTTATTCTTGTATACTTGTAATCTTGTTCTAAGAGTAAGGAAAGAATAGCAGTTTATAACCAATTCTTGTTGTTTTACCTTGGTTTCTTTGTTAACCCTAACCCTTGTGTATTTCTTGATCATAAAGAAACCGTTTATACTTTATTTCAAGACATCCGATTCACAATACACAGAATATTAAAAATACATTGTAAATACATTTTAAAAGTAAAATATGATTATATTAACTATCACCTCGGTGGTAAAAAAACCAAGGTGACTATTTCATTTTTTTGAAAATACATTGTTTATACTGAATATTAAAAAACATTGTTTACAACAAATCATTGGTGATATCCAAATTTTGTTTCATACCCATCAAAACAATTTTTTTTTTAAACAAGAATGATTTTCTACACTTGCAATCTATCAACTGTATATCTTCAAAGGTTGAGCTAGTTCCCTTCTTTGTTGGTTAAGCTTCATTCTTTGTTTAACTTGAAGGAAGAATGGTTTTCTGAACTTGCAATCTATCAACTGAGCTCTTTTCCAAAGTTGAGCTCACTTCATTGTTAGTTAAGCTATTTTCTTTAGGTAACTTGAAGCAAGAAAGCTTTTCTACACTTGTAATCTATCAACTGAGTACCCTTCTTTAACTGAGCATTATTCTAAAAAAATACAACAACGACAATATCAACACCATTATGTAAGATAGATTGTAAGGGCAGAAAAATATTTTGTTCAAGATAGAAGAACATTGAAGATTTTTTCTATCTTGCATTACATCCCAAATAATGATGCTTGTGAGTTTGAGGTGGCCTCATATAATTAAGGATTAGGATAAAATCTTTTTAACGAGTGCTTTTATAATAAGATCTTATTATTTTATACCTTGGTTAAATAGAAAACCGAAGGGTAGAACATTTTGTTTACACTTATAAACAAATAAAAATCATAAACTGCAATAACTGGGAATCAAAGTTTGTATTGAGTTGTTTTTTCACCTCAGTTATTTTAAAAATCGGAGAAATTGATGTTTTTTCACCTCGGTGAAAGCTGTTAGAAAATTTTCAGGTTTTGGATCTTGATATCATGATTTTCACGGTGGTCTAATTTCTATAAAAAAATTTTAAAAAAATTACCCGGATCCATGACGTTGATTCTTGTCCAGTTCTTGATTCTTGATCTGAATTGTTCAGTTCTTAATCTTTGATTTGAATTGTTTTCTCCTCTCTTTCTTCTTTTTTGTATCTTTGATGATTAAGATATTTTCATTTCTTTGTTTATGGCATAACCAGGAAGAATGAGAATAGTTAGTGTTTCTTTTCTAATGGTGTCTATTTATAGATATCTTATTCCAATAGTCACATCTCATCGCAATAGTCATGTCCCAATAGCCATGAAGAGAGAGAAGATGGATTTTAATTTTATTTTGAAATTCAAAATAAAAACCCATTGACTTAATTTTCCATCAACCTAAACAATCATCATATTAATGTATCTTTTATTTAAGTCAGCCTTTAATCTACATGAGTCATTTTAATGGATTAATAAATTAATCTTACAACCTCCCACTTGAATCATGTGAAAACTTGATGTTTCATTCTTATACCATAATTGTGCATCATTCATTGAAAGCACCAAATCATTATCTTTAGTGAATCGAAATGATCAAGACGGTCACAAATTATTCATCAACTTGATTCCTTCCATGTATCACGAATCAATCCAATTCAAATAATCTTAAGGGATACAAATATGTGTCTTTCATGCCTCTTCAAAGACACTTTTCTCATCACATATTAACAATAATGTATAGAACATAATATGGATAACAAAACAAAGCAAAAACATATCCTTAATTGAATTCACAAGTGTCATACAATACGGACATTAAATTATACAGGTATATATACAGATTATACTAAGATGTTAACAAGGACTTTTACATAATGCCCATATTTTCTACGTGGCCAACAAATGTCTTGGGCGGTAAACCTTTAGTTAACGGATCCACTATCATTAAATCTTTACCAATGTGTTCAAATGACACTTTTGTTTCAACACTTCTCCTTTAACTAATAAGTACTTCAATTTCATGTGTTTCACACCCTTTAAATACTTATCATTCTTAGAGAAGAAGACAATTGCATAATTATCATAATAAATTCTTAACAACCTAGCTATATTGTCGGCAATATCAAACCCCAAGGTAAAATTCTGCAACCACAATAATTGATTTGTGGTCTCAAAGCATGCCACAAATTCAACTTTTCCATAATATTTCTCCTCCAGTAAGGAGAAAAAAATTCTTAAATGTGAATTTCCTTGAGTCCATACATCCTATAGAGTTTAAATCCAAATAGTCAACCACTTCAAGGTGATCTGACCTTTTATATTTGAGCCTGTAATCTTTGGTGCCTTGTAAGTACCAAAGAACATTCTTTGCAATTTTTCATTTGATCTGTTCTAGGATTACTATGATATCGACCTAATATACCAACATCAAAATTTATATTTGTCGAGTATATGTTTGGGCATACATCAAGCTCCCAACCACTGATGCATAGGGAATATACTCCATTTCCTTTCGTTCTAATTCATTTTTGGAACATTGCATTTGACTAATTTTGTTCCCCTTTTGAATAGGAACTATCCCAACAGAGCATTCATCCATTATGAACCTCCATAATAATTTATTTATATAGCCTTTCTGAGACAATCCCAACAATCCTTGTGATCTATTACATAATATTTCTATTCCTATCACATATGATGCCTCAACTATATCCTTCATTTCAAATTTATTGGAGAGAAACTTCTTTACATCATGTAACAAAGCAAAATCATTAGAAGCAAGTTAAATGTCATCAACGTATAAGACCAAAATTATAAATTTGCTCTCACTGACCTTCATATAGATATGCTGATCTACGGTGTTCACTACAAAATCATATGACAAAACAATATTGTTAAATTCAAGATACTATTGTCTGGAAGCTTTCTTTAGTCCATATATTGACTTCTTTAATTTACACACTAAATTTTCTTTTTTTTACAGTAGCAAACCCTTAAGGTTGAGGCATATATACTTTTCCCTCTAAGTCACTATTTAAAAAGACGATCTTCACATTCATTTGGTGAAACTCTAAGTGATAATGACTCACCAAAGCCAAAACAATTTTTAAAGAGTCCTTCTTTAAAATAAGAGAGAAAGTTTCTTTGTACTCAACACAATCCTTTTGAGTGAAACATTTGGCGACAAATCTAACTTTATATTTCTCAATATTGCCTTTAGAGTCTCGTTCGGTCTTAAATACCCATTTAAATATCTCAAGTTTTTATTATTTGAGTTGAAAATTTTGTAAAAGAAAAACATTTGTTGTAGGATTGATATACTTGATTATGCAGCTCATTAAGTAAAAAACGTGTCTACTATTAGTGAAAACTGTACTCACCACCACACGCAAAGCAGCATTTTTTGTATGCACGTCTACTTTTTACTTACATTCTTAATATTTTTTTTATTAAATATAAAAATTAAAAAAGAAAAGAAAAAGAATGAATTAAGATAGAAACTGCACCTAAAAGAAACATTTTTCTACGCAAAGTGATGAATATAAGATTCTCATCTAACATGCCGTGAATATGATATATACCAGTTTCAAACCTATAGTGACAGGCAATGCTAATACAGAAAAACTATATATGAAGCTTCTTTTGACTTGTGACTTAATAAACTAAAAATCACATGCATCACGATCATATATAATAATTAACATTTAACTAAAAATCACCAAATTATAAGAATATTCAATTTCCAATTTTAATTTAGAATGAATGGAAAGAATTATCATCATATACAAGTTTAATTGAAAAAGTAAAAGTTAAAAAAGATAAAAAAAAATAAGGTCAATGAATTAATACTGAATACACAAACTTGAGATTTAGAAATGGCAATCGACCAAAGAAGAATTACTGGAGAAAGCAATAACATTTTCTCTAGGCTGAAAAGAAAACTTGGATTGATCTCTTTGTTCAACTTCAGGAGCTGGAAGATTCAAATCCAACTTCAAAACATTTCTTGGTTTCTTAGCTTCATGAGATTTAGTGCTACCAATACTCATACTCAAAGAAGTTGTTGTTGCTGTCGCTGTTGTTGTTGTTGATGTGTTCACGAGTGTTCTATGTCGTCGCATATGTCCTCCCAACGCTTGCCCCGACGCGAATTCCGCGCCACATATCGAACACTCGTGAACTTTTGACTTTTTTGTAGGAGCGGTAGTAGGAGTAGTAATAGTAGTAATCGGGGTCGCGGCCGTAAAGCCTTGCAAAGAGAGTATAGTATTCATGGTTGGATCATAATGATGATCAACAAAAGTTCTTGCAACATTATTGTTACAATTTGGTTTGTTAGGTTTGCTATGACTTGCTCTATGTCCACCTAGTGCTTGGAAGGAAGGGAAACACCTATTGCATGTCTTGCATTCGTAAAGATAAAAATTCGAAGATTTTTTGTCGTCGTCGTCAGGATGAAGATCCTGACGATGATGACGACGGCCTTGAGCTAATAGAATAAGACAGTTCGCCATATCTTCTTCTTCTTTCTCTTCTTCTAATTGGTTACGCGATTTAATAACTGCGAATTCAATTCCCTTTGAATTTCGGTCTTTGTGATTGTGATCGTGATCGTGATCATGATCATCGTGAGCGTAATAACTCGTTCCTTCGTTGCAAGACATGGCTAACCGAAGTGGAGAAGGCAACCTTTGACGCTTTGTTCTCTTTCCTTTAATTATTTGTTGTTGTGCAAGATCCTTAGAAACCACCATGAGTTGTTGTTCTTCCAAGACTTGCATGTTTTATTTTTTTGAGAGAGAATAAAAAGAGAAGAAGGTATGAAGTTTGAGATGAATGAATGAAAGAACAAAAGAGAGTTATAATATATATTAGTGGTGTAAAGAAAGGGTTTAAAGGTGCATGAATAACCTATGGTGAAGAGTATATAAATATAACCTTAATAGTTATAAATTAGGTATTGCCAGAGTTGGTTTTCCAACATAGGAAGTTATATATAGAGATATTAAAATACAACAAGGTGTGAAGTGTAGGCAAGAGAGAGAGAGAGATTGTGAAGTATGTGTATGTGAGGAGGTAATGGAAGAAACGAGTGAGATTCGGTTGGCTTTGAAGCAAACCCATTACTTTTTCTCAACGATTCCTTTTTAGAGGATTGGTTTGCAAGCCTGGAACCACACACAACTTTCACCCCTTGTTCTATATTTTTTCTTTCTATTTTATTACTAGAGACCAACTAATTCATATTTTATTTTTTATATATACATCAATTAAAGTTATTTGTTAAAATATGAATTAGTCGTAAGTTCTTATAATTAATTTTAGAGATTTGTTTTTATGTAAAGTAAGTCTATTGAATTTATTTATATTGAATATATATCTCAAAATTAATTATTCATGTACACACTATATTTAAATGTCTTTATTTTTAGTTTCTTTTCTTGCTTGCTCGTGTTGCTGTTGGTTCTTATTTATCTTACTTAATCTGTTTCTTCTACATTTAACTAATCTTATACTCTAAATTAATTGAAAATCTGTTTAACAAACTAATGTCATAAAAACTGTATGGTGTAAACAGATCCTTCATTAATGACTTGTGATAATGCCAGATTATATTGTATTATTATTAGTTAATTTTGTAGTTATAAAATAAGCATGACTTTGATGATTAATTAATAGTAGCTAATAGCTATACTCACTTGCTAAGAAGGGAATTCATGTGCAATGACCTTAACCACTTGTTTAACAAATTAGTCACAATCTCATTGGTTAATAATCCAATAATCACGCCTTATATATGCATGATCCTATTTTAAATTCGTTTTTGATATTCTCTACCAATCATTTGGCGTCGGTGAAAAGCACTTTCTATATTATATATGATGACTCTGCCTTGAGTCTTACTTACTACATTTAATAGTGAACAATGCAAACTAAATGTGTGATGAATAGTATTATACTTTAAAATGGTGCTTTCACACCAAACAAAACTATACATTTATTCTATATTTGGTCAACTACTTTTTTTTTCACACTCTTAAATCAAGTTTAAACTTGGAGTTACTAATTTGTCATATATCAATTTAATTTGTTATTCATATTATTTTTCTATTTTTTTATAAGCAAAGGAGTTAATAGAAAGACAAGGATACTCAATCTCATTATAAGTAAAAGTTTAACAGCTTTTGATACAATTTAAGGGGGTTAACACACCAAATAGAAAATTACAATTATGTTTGATGTCGGTTCTAGCGACAAACCATGACCATGATAGTGTTTTAATACTCTCCAAAGCAGATGAAGTGTCAAAAATAGCTCATTTGAAAATAACAACAGTATTTTGCATCATTCCTAGACTGTATAGTGTTGTTAATCATACAAAAGTTGAACTTTGAAAAATATATTGTATTGTTATTATTTTTTATGACATATGATATACTTTTATGCATAGGTTAATGATTTATTTTTCAGAGTTTAAAAATAAGATCAATTCTAACAAATCCTAACAAATTAATAATAATCATAACAAACTAATAACAAACTATTAAATTTATCTCTAAATACCTCCTCAAGTTGGAAGATGAGGATTACAACAAACTATTAAATTTATCTCTAATACCTCCTCAAGTTGGAAGATAAGGATTATCAACACCCAACTTGAACATAAGGTCTTGAAAAACTTTCATGCCTAAGGGCTTAGTAATTGTTAGCATTTTATACATAAATCTAAAGAGTTCTTCCAATAAGTGTAGAGAGAGATGCTCTCTCTTCTCTCTAGAAAATCTCCCCCAAAATCTCTAGGCTTTGATGGTTGTTGCCTCCCACCTTCATGGTGGTTTTCATCTTCCATCTTTATGGTGATTATCTCCCCTATAAAGGGTAGTATCTATTTCTTTCAACCTCACTCTCATGTTTCTACTAGGGTTAAGCCACTCATCGGAAACCCCCTCCTTCCACTGCAAACCAAATTGCTTCTCTCTCTACTGTCACGGCCGCCGCCGGAGCCACCACCATTAAGAGATGGAAAGCTTCTTAAAGTTGTTCTTAGCATCCCAAACTCAACAATGGTGGGTGTACCACTGTCATACCCCAAATTTGTCCTAACTTTTTTCTCTCTTATACCAAGATTTTGTGTGTTTCATGATTTTTTTTAGATGATTACTTGGCTTTTGGTCATGATCTTTTAAGGTTTAGGTCATGATAATCTTGTGTGTGCCTAAGGTGTGCAAGTCCTTACATGGTGTGTGAAATTCATGTGGAGATAAAGGAAGGATATGCCCTCTTTCTGATGGTTAATTGTCAAGACAAGGTCAGTTCTCCTCAAGCCATTCCAAGACTTGGCTTGATTTGGGGTAAATTGATTTCCAAGTTATCATTTCTTAGACCTCAATTAAACTAGTTTCAAGACCCAAGCATATACTTTTTTCAAGGTCAATGAGTAATTTCATGTCATATGGCATAACCCACTCGTGATCAAGACATGCGCACAACCTAAGTCATGATGGAATTAAAGTCATGATTATTCATTTACAAAGTCAGGAATAACGCCTTTTCAAATTGTGATACAAAACCATGGTTAGAAGTTTTTTCTCAAAATCTTTATTTTGGCAAGCATAATTAGAAGTTTCAAGCCTTGTTTTCAAATCATGTTAGGATTATTTTGAAAGAAATATGAGTGAATTGTTACAAGTTTAGCCTCATCCATGTGATCACTCATTTTTAAGGCGAGATTAATTTGCAAGCAACCATTTCATTTCTTAAGGCCATGGCCTAATCGTGTCCAAGAGTGAAATTTTGGGAGTTGTTTTATTTCAGCTAAGTCGTAAAAGAGAGTTTGCGATGCTTAGGGTTTGCTAAAATTTCATGCCAAGTTGTGATCAAATCTCAGCAGTGTGCGATTAAATTTTGAAACCATTTTTCATAAGAAGTCGTAGCAGGCCAAAATTCACATCACAATTCACATGCCATTTTAAAGCATCTTACTCTAATCTAGTCCTAGTGTGAACATAAACTTCAGCGTTGAAAATTAAAAATAAAAAAGGTCTATTGTATCTCAAGCTATCACACAATTTGTGATTAAGAGTTTTCATTAGCATCATTTGAGCCTGAAGTTACAAAGTCCGAATCTTGTTACAAAATGGTTATGAAGCAAGTAAAGGAACTTCAAATAATAACCTCACAAGTGAGTTTCAAGGGAATAAGAATACATTTGAGGTAACAAGAGAATTCTAAACTACAAATTTACAAATTCTTGTTTGTGACATAATTTCATGATCTAAGTTTCCAAATCCCTTCATACCAAGTTTGTACCCGTGCCAAAAGACAGCCTTGAAGACTTCTTCCTCCAGCCTATTCGTTCCACCAAGGTTTCATGATTAATCCTATCAAGTTGTTAAATATTGTGCAAAAGACATGTTAGTGATGCTATCCTCACCCAAGGGCGTCACCATCACTCATACCAAACATATGCACATGAAAACAAATGGAATAAATGGTTAGTACATTGTGTAGTATATGTACAATTCAAGGTAAAGTACTAATTTAAAGGCATTCCGAAGCATGTTTAAATGACAACCATGAGGAAGTATTTGATATACAAACTGGGCATAAAGAACGTATACAATTGCTAAACCAAAGCCATACCGCATTAATACCATAAAGAACCCCCTACCAAGATACTTTAAACCACAAGAACCAAATGCAATTGAAAATGATGTCCTTAGCATAAAGTCAACAGGCACTCAAGTTTTTTACAAATAGCAGCCGTTGTCAAAATAGATACAATTTGCAGAAGGAAGTATAAGACTTAAAACTACAAGGACTTAGAATTGAGGATCTTACCAAGATTGCTTCCAAGCCAAGCATTGAGTGTTCACGTCAGGTCTTTTAAGCTTTCCACAATTCCAAACTCTAACCGGGCACCAAGTTGCTCCAAGGTTACTTTTATTCATGCAACCAAATGCCTCATTCCAAAATACATACAAACATGGAGACAATGGTTAAACACACAAGACCAAAACTCATACTAATGGAAAATATACATAAGTAAAAATTCACCATGTAAGATTTACAATTAGGGGTGTGCATGGATTATAAACCAAACCAAACCAAACCACATATATGGTTTGGTTTGGATCTTAAAACCATTTATATAAAACCGGTTTATTTTTTAAAACCGATTTACAAGTGGATCGGTTTGGTTTCAAACCGGTTTTTAAAGAAAAAAACAGTTTTTTTAAAAATCAGTTTTTAACCGGTTTCTCTCAAAACCAGTTTTTTTAATTTTCTTTAAAGAAATCAGTTTTAAAACCAATTTTATAAAAAAGAAAACCAATTTTAAAAGCAATTTTTTTAAAAAAACGGTGAGGATTAAGGTTTTTGAGGATTTCTTATAATACAATTATAAATTATTAATTAAGCGATTTTAAATTTCTATAAATTAATTATAGACCAAATTATAACTTAACATTTAAAAAAAAACAACAACAAATAAACGTTATCATGACAAATTAAGATAAATTCTTTAAAAAAAAGAATGTTCTCCCCTTAAATTTATTTATTTTATTTTTTAATACTTACAAAATCATTTATAGAATTTATAGTATTAGTGAAATCACAAATATAGATTGACAAAAAAAGAAATCATAAATATAGAGATTCAGTAATAGTGAAATTTTCCCACATTTTCTTCTGTGCATTACCCCTATTTGCGAGACCCTCCAAAGAGACTCCATTAGCATCATTTTCCTATCTGCTTCAAATAATATGATCTCTTTTAAAC